TATAGAACTCTTAAAAGCCTAATGGGCAGAGAGGGTGATGTTCTGAACATTGCATTTTAGTCGTTCAACGAACCAATGCATCACCGTACTTCGAAAAAGAAAATCACCGTACTTCAAAAAAGAAATATGAAATTAGAAATATTTGACAAAGCTTACACACTGTACAAAACTTTACTAGATATTATACACGTTTAAGTATACAAGTAGGCTACAAAAATCCCCCAAAACTCTAACTTAAGAAAGGTTTTGAAGAAATGATTATAATTGATTGTAAATATATATTATATGCTATTTCAAATTGATTTACGGGTCGTTTCATGAAGCTTTCTTTTTATTTGTGTAGCAATCCTTTTCGAAGATCAGCTCTACTTTGCAAAAATACGATACATTCGAGTTACAGACGCCCCCCCCCCCCCTCCCCTCCACATGTTGTTCCAAGCATAACCTTTACTTTCTAAAATGTTCATTGAAAGGCCGGTTGACTTTATTCCAAGCATAACTTTTACTATATTGAAAATTATCATTGAAGCCCCCTCCCCTTTTTTTGCAGAATAGTCAAACAGGGGTAGGCGGTTGCGCGTGAGAGAAAAAATGTTACTGAAAGAAGTTTGACAATTTTCCTTTTTTCCATGTCAGCCTTTTTAAAAATAGATTTGAATTTTTCTACACACCCCGCCTTTTCAAAATCGAAGTTATGCACCCCTGAGTTGTAAGATGGTAGAAGTCAACTGCATACTGTATATAGACATCTTATTTCACAGGCAATTTGGGATATTAAAAATGTAGATTTATAGACATTTGCTGCCATAAGTTTTTTCATATCTCTGTTAATAAAGAAAATTTTTCAAATAGCAGCCGGTGCGATGTTTTCAGTTATTAACCGGTGCAATATTTGCTAAGACCCTGATAGCAACCGTAACTTTAAAAAATCGTGTTTTATCCAAAATCTCGATCTTTTAATATTTACTTTTTAATTTTAAAAAATTATTTCTAAGTATTATTATAGATTGACGCATCTTTTAATACCAAAATACCCACAATCTGAAGAATAGATGATTTAAGATAGCATGAAAACTAGGTATTTATTGACTTGAGATTTGGTACAGGTTTCGAAAATTTTACTAATTCTAAATTATTAGAGGGCTATTCTGCAAATTACACATGACAACATCTATAGAAATACCTTACTTGTTCCGTGCACCCGGACATTTCAGAGACTTACTTGATTTGGGGTCTTAATTTTACTGTTTTACAACTTGTTCTAAGAGTTTTAAACATATTTATTTCTGCTAGCAGCCGTACAATTTTCGAATAGCAACATTGAACGCAGTTTTGTTCCGATAGCAGCCGTTTAGGTACTACTCCGTGTATAAATACGCTATTCAGGGTTCATAAACTTTATACAACAATTCCTCTCATAAAATCAAAATCTTGATCTTGTCATATTATAGACAATTGTTTCTTGAATTAAAAGAAACTCGGAAACGTTCTTATCTTTTGCGAGGTAATTTTTAACAAAATTATATACTTCTAAATACTTTATTTAGACAAGAGGCCAATGGGCCACATCACTCACCTGAGTAGCTTATGTGATGCAGTTCTTTACCAGATTCCCCCATTTGTATACCTATCATGACCCACTACCCCTTCCCTTTTTTTGATTTTAAAACTTTAGAATCTACACTACCCCAGGATGCTTGCACATAAGCTTTAGCTTTCCTGGCCCAGTGGTTCTTGAGAAGAAGATTGTTTAAAGATTAGTTCAATATATTTCTATGTAAAACTTGGATTCCATATTATGGTCTCGCCCTAACCCCAGGGGTCATGATTTTAACAATTTATTATCTAAACTACCCAAGAATGCTTCCATATAAGTTTCAGTTTTCCTGGCCCAGTGGTTCTTTAGGAGAACCACTTTTTAAGTGACCCCACCCTATTTTTGTCTTTTCTTGATTATACCCCTCTTTTAAGGGGGCTTGGCCCTTCATTTTTACATTTCCCTTCACCCAAGCATGCTTTGTACCAATTTTAGATAAAATTGGCCCATTGGTTCTTGAGTAGAAGTCGAAAATGTAAAAGTTTAAGGACGGACGGACATACAACTAGACAAACGGACGGACGACGGACAAAATGTTATCAGAAAAGCTCACTTGAGCCTTCGGCACAGGCGAGCTAAAAATCAATCTGATTCTAAACATATGTACTCTGTAAGGGATGCTGGAGTTTCTTATTGGTATGGCGTAGTTTTAGGAGATCAAATCTTTCAAACAGAATTTAGGAATTCATGAAACAATAAGGGTGCTCATTTTTGCATAGCCTGTTTTTATACTCAAATACTAAATTTATTCAAAACGTTTTAAACAAGAGGAAGGAAACACTTGCTGTGCCCTTCTACTCTACATGTAAATATATCGACTACGTTTTATGAATTAACAATACTTCCATTCATAAAAATATGGAGATAACGAATAGTTTTAAGCTCAAAATTCCATTTAAACGATAAACAAATGAACAGTCAATGCTTAGCGGAGCAAATACGGACTTGGGGTGGGGTGGGGGTGGGGGGGGGGGTAGTGGCCAACATTTCTCGAGGCTAACTTCCTCTCACTTCAATTTTATTCCTATAATACCTCGCTATAAATGTACTGTGGTGAACAGGGGGGGGGGGGGGGCAACCATCTCTTCAATGGACATTTAGTAAAGGACATATAGTAAAGGTATTGTTCGGGAAAAAAGTGGGTCGATTGGGGGGTAGCCCCCTCCCCGGCCCCCTGCAGTTGCTACGTGCCTGAACGCACGGTGATAAGGTTTTGCGTGTGCCACGGTTACTGAACATTCGTGAATTTCTAATGCATTTAATAAAGAAAAATTACACTGAATGTAATTTTCCATGTAAATAAAACATATCTGAAATTACCTATCATCCGTAAAACTGTGTTTAAATGCAAAAATTTCGAATTCAAGCACGAAAAGTCAGATTTAACCGATGACCTCATTCTTGAAAGTCATTCCCAAAAGAATTTAGTTTCGTCACTTTTGTGAAGATGCAATTAAGGGATAATTTACTTTTCATTTAAGATTACTACTTGTACAAATTCGAAGGTAAAAAAGAAAAATATCCAGATTTCTGTAATTTATGTAACAGTTTTAACAATAAAAAAAAAATTAAAACCATCATGTAGTCCTAATTTTGTTGGTTTGAACATATTTTATTGTTTAGATGTTACAACAAAAGGATAGGTCCAGGTAGCACAAAACGTTTTCATAACATTAGATTCTGGTTGTAAGGACGTTAGTATAAAACATTGTCCGGACACAATTAAACTATACAAGTTTAGAACTTTATAACAATTAATAACACAAAGTTTTGTTCATAAATTAATTTACACTGGAACCAAAGGTCAATAAGATTATTTAACATAGGTCATGCATGTACAGATTTTAAAATTTTTGTCGTATATATACTATTTTTGTTGTATACATATATATACTTACTATGTACATGTATACTGAAAGGAAAAAGAAACGCAGGGTAAACTTTTGAGATGAATTAAATTTCCTTTTCTTAAAATACTTTTTAGTTTTCTTATCTAACTTTTAAAACCATCTTTCAAAAAGATATAACCAAATTCTCATATAATTTTGTGTAATTGTTCATGAGTTATTGAAGCTCAAATGACGATACCCCCAAAGAGGGAAAATCTAAAACTCTCATTATCTTCAATGTCCATCTCGTGCATCTCTCAGAGTCTTATTTCTCCTTGCATGGAATTTCATCAGAGTGTTTATCTTTCAAACCCTGGCTATATTTAGCATGGGTAAACACGCAAAAAAAAGTCAAATGGCGCGCGCATGCGCCCGGGGAGTGAGAGGAATACAACAGTAAGTTGACTGGCTCAAAAAAACAAATTGCGGAATTGTTTCTTTCAAATTTCGTATCATGAATGTAATGATTATAATCATGTACACTATAAATTGCTGTTTTTGTGGTAGTGAGGTGGGGATTTCAGAGATGGCAGGACGAATAACCCGCTCGTAAGATGCATATGGATCTGTTTCGCGTTAACGTCATCGTCACGGTTGATTGAAATCCACTCCAGACCCTCTCTGACCACGGCTGAAAAGTTTTATGGAGGAAAATTTACAATCTCTTGAGACTGCTTAGTAAAGCGTTGTTGCCTTTTTCATTAATAAGGCAATTCGAAAACAAGACCCCATTGAACTTCTGTAAACTCTGCCAAGATTGCAAGAAAATCATAATGTCTCTTAATATTGAAAAACGATGTGCATACCTCATATGCATCAAATAATGCAACAAGATTTGTGGACAAACACGTCGTTTTCCAATTGCACGTGTTTTAGGCTTTTTAGAGTTTTCCCTACATGACGTCATAATTTTTACGGTTGAGTAATTCTGAATACTGATTTTGATGCACAGTAATTAAATTTCCCATCTGACCAATTTTCGTTATTTTCGGTCATGTGGTCAAATTTTTATCGACAATTATGCTACCCTGCGTTTCTTTTTCCTTTCAGTATATATACCTAATTTTGTTGCCCAAGTTAAGAAATTATGTAATTTCAGAGACATATAAAACCTATCTCTGGTAATTTATTTTCATTTATTCTCTAAAAAAGACATTTATAAAACGGATAATAGATACAAATCTGTACATCATATTCCATATGTCATTATTAGGAATAAAAATTGAACGAGTTACCTTTACTATTACTTAAAGAACGCTTCTTTTCATTGGTTGGACGGTATACTTCCGTTTCAATAATTAAATCAGTATGTTTCAAGATTTTCTTCATAATTTTATTTTTATTTCTTAAAAAGTAAAAAGGTAACTCAATTTGATATAAAATCAATCGATTATACACAAAATAAAGTGGAAAATCAAATGAAAACAACATCTGAAAAAGATTGAATGTTCACACAATTAGCCAATGACATTTTAGGTAACAACAGTTAAAGTTCATTCATGCTTGAATAATTATTAACTGGAGCGTGCAGTACAGCCGCAAAACGGACAAGATGGGGAATTATGGATTAACTTTAGCTGCATTTATACAAATCTTATCGCAATGAAGAATGTGAAACGGATTTTGTTGATCAAGATGTAGACCTGTGCTTTGGTATTATTCTTTTCTTTGATTGTAAACAACAAGAGTTGCAAAGCCATACGTCATATGGGCATCTTTCCATAAACAGCTGATTTTTGTCTCTCTCTTCTCCACGATTAATAATGGCTTCTTTGCAACGTGAACACAGCATGGAAGTAGACCCACCCCCTGGCCCCTCCAATAACCAGCCCCCCGCGTCAAGTGGCGGGTCTCTGAAACGGTCAAACAGCGCGCCTATGATCAATGTTTTGGTCTCTCAACCAGAAATTAGGTAGGTCATTCACTCATTGTCCATTTATTTTGTTCGTGTAATACATCATGGCTCATCATAACGTTTTCATATGCTATCTTCTATTTTCTAAAGAATATCATATCCGTTAGAAAAAATAGACAACAATCATACTGAAATTAAATTCTGGCCATGCATGCATTTATAAACATCAAAATATCAAAAATTAATTTAAATGCTGTCATGTCAATAAAAATACTAATTTTGGCAATGTATACTATATTTCTTTTAGTATACATAAAGTTTGACATTTTTATCATGGTCAAAAAATTTAGTTTACTCAAAGTCTACAGGTTGTTCTTGTGAGGTAAAGCTCCACATATCCAAAGAAGATAATTATCTGAGGTGAAGAAGAATTTTGCAGGATAATGTGGATGATTTAATGTTTTCATTTCAGTCCTCCAACCAGCACTTTCAAGGTGTCGGAATGTTCGAGGCTGCGCCGATTTAGCTCCAGTTCTATGTCTCTGAACCAATGTGGACCAAGTGTGAGATAACTTCGTTGTTCAAGTTTTTTGTTCCTGCATCATATATATAGCACAGCTAGCAATGACATTTTTCTTTAGCATGATTATCTTTCTTCTCTCTTCCACTTTTTCATTTTGTAAAGTCTGGAAAGCAATTTTCTATTAACCAGAGGACTTTTAAAAGAACTTTAGTTGTATGACAATGTGTAATGACAGACAGGGAAAACTCAAATAACAGAGCATTAATTTAAACATTCTCAAGTTGTGACAGCATACTGTTCATTTACACATCCTTGGTGAAAATAATGTGTTATTTCAGTAATACTAATATAGATATTTATTTGTAGACTCCAGTCAAAATCCCAGACCGAGTTAATAGACTGAAAGATGAAGAAATTCACATCGTCGAGAAGGAGAAGGAACATGAAAGGTAAAATATGCCAGTAAAACAAAATTTTACTTTCTTGAAATTTTGATGTGTATAATATACAATTATTTAATGCCTGAGCAGTGAATAAACCAGAGTAATTTCCCGATGTGCAGGGAACAGCTCAGTGTGTTCTATTGCCCGAGGCTAGCGGCCGAGGCAATAGAACACACTGAGCTGTTCACTGCACCGAGGGGAAAATTTTCTGGTGTATTCACTGCTAGGGTATTAAATAATTGTTTTATTACCTAATTTCATTTTCCGTATTAAGTGTTCACAATTGTATATTCAGTACAGAAGGTTCCCATACCATATTGTAAATTTATACTCATTTATGGTGCAGCTGTAATATTAATTAAAGATTGATTGTAATAAATTTGTATAGATCTATAGAGACGCCACCATTTCCCCATGGAGAGGGACCTTTTTCGTGCCAGCAGAACACCTACTGCTACCTCAGTTTATAGGTCTAATTGAAGGATTGTCTCAACATCCCAAAGTGTATTAATTAAAGTATCTTTCATCACTGTTCATTAAATAAAATATCCGACTATTGAAATCATACAATTTTCTAAAACCAATATGGAAAGATCATATAGGGAGATGATTGTTTACCATGTCTGTGCATTGTTACAAACAACTAAATTCGAAACCCGGATGGTTTTTTTTTTTTTTTCGAAATACGTTAGCAGTCAATAGAACGCGCTGTCTATTGACCGGTCAATAGATCGGTTTGAAAAGATAAGAAAAACTGAAAACACATACAGAATAGATGAAAATATTAAATCTCTAATAAAATAACAAAATTTACTTGATTAGGTAATAAAATCAATTATGTTTGGACAGTAAGATTATTAAGATACCATTCTCACTTTTTACAACATTTTTTATACTGTCTGTATCTTTATTAGTAGTGAAAAAAATCATACAGAGAGTCAGAGGCCTCTGATCTAATGATATTGATTGTACAATTCGTGTGATTCAAGTTCATGAGGTATTCAATGTCAAAATCTATGTAAATTTCATTTTTCTACTTTTTCTTTTGATACTTTTTTGGCATCACCATTTTGTAACTCTGTGCTACATGAAGTCTACAGTAGATGCATAAAATGTACTGTAAAATCACTTATTTTCAAATTTTTTGTGAGGTAAAATTTCCGAGGTTTGAGGGAAAAAAAATATTGGTTTGTGGGGATTTGAATTCGTCGTTTGAAAATGTTTAGTACATTGTAGTGATGTATATGAAATTTGACATTTCATGGTGGACAAAAATTCGTGGGTCTCTCCATATCTCGAAAACAACGAAAATTAAACCCCCTCGGAAATTAGTGTTTTCACAGTATATCTAGAAAATTTTGTAACTTTTTGTGAAATGTGACATATTGTTTAATTAAAATTTATTTTTTCCCAGAGACGTGAGTTCAGCCATAAAGATGTCAAGCTCCTGGCAGGATTTCTCTCTGGTACGTTTAGTTTTAACATTCCTTTGGGTGATACATGATATGCTTAATTATTCCAAATCAGAGTCCTTCTTAGCAACATGTAGGATAATTAAACATTAAACTGTGTACAAATATGAAGTACAGAGCTCGACATTACTTTTTTCCCTACTTGTCCATTCGGACAAGTGACAAAGATATTTACTTGTCCGAACTTCAACTTCACTTGTCCGAAAATTTCTCAATGAATATCTTGTTATGTCAACTTAAAAACAAATAAAAAATTAAATGTGCTTCATTAATTACTGTTGTTATTGATAAATAAGACAAACACATATAAAACAAAATTTTATCTTGACTTCCTGTCCTGACAACAGCCTAAATGTTCCCAAGTGAATCTGTAATATCAATCAAATATTTTCCAAACTGAGTGAAACTCGCAAACGTCGCAAAATCCAAGCCATGTTATAGTATAGCTACAATTAGTGAACATCATTCCCGATCAATTGTGAACTTGCACAGCGATTCATATTGGGATCAAAATTCAGGTTTATGTACTGCTTCCATTTTTACCATGTTTACTCGATAAACTTTCCAATAATTGTTTTTTTTTATTTTATGATTATTATTATTTGAAGACTTTTTAACGTAGAAAAATCACTTGTCCAATCGGACAAGTGTCCAGCAATATTCACTTGTCCGTAATATTTTTTCATTGGTAACGGATAGGGCTGGGATGATATATCGAGATATCAATATAACGTGATACATGTTAGGATGATACGCATATCGATACATATGAAGAAATATCGGAATATCGCCCCAAAAAATCTTACTTCTGTTTTTCTTTGTTTATTTAACATTTTGGGTTTAATATATAAACAAATAAGTTACATATAAATATAGATATAAAATAAATAATAATTAACCACTTGAGTAAAATATTTTTGTTTAATAATATATAAACAATTATTTTGAATAAATTATTCTTATTTGCAAAGAAATAATTTGTTTATTTCAATGCAAAAGTAGAATTTATCAGCAATCAAACATAATGGATACATATCGTATCGTGGCTCAAATATCGTGATATGTATGGATATAGAAAAAGTTGTATCGTCCCAGCCCTAGTAACAGACAAGCGTTAATGTCGATCATTGAAGTATATATATTTGGCCAAATTACTTTGACCCGTTCTGTATTTTTTCAGGAGGATTCCCATGAGGCCATGCAGCCTGATCCCCACCGACGCCCGCGGTCGTTCAGCGAGTCTCTCCACATCAACGTGTTTCCCCAGCCCACCATGCTCGTGGGCACCCCCTCTCCTACCAGGGTCGGAAACCGAAAAGTAGGTCGCGAAATTATGTATTCATATTGTAAAATTTAAACTTTGAATTAAACTTGCATCACATTTATAGGTGCTTTTCCTGAAATAAAGCTTGTTTTCAACATGTTCAACTTGTAAAAATAAAATATTGATTAATTTAAAGCCATTATTGTTTGTTCAATATATACAAATAAATGACTATTTGAAAGAG